AAAGAAAGCTAAAATGGAAGTAGTTTTTGTTTTACCTGCGCCAAAAGTCATTCATCAGAGCTGGCCTCGTAGACCGCCCCCCCCTCCCCGGACTACAAGACGAGTCAAAGTAATATCCCTCCACTTTTCGTTTTGATGCATTAATGAGGTGCTAGGTAGATGTGAAAAGCTGTAAGTGATATTTCCTTCTTCTATTTTCTATCCTATTTTCTCCCCTTTCTGCTTTAAGGTAGTTTATAGAGTATGCACAATTCAACCGCGTGTGGTCAATAGTGGGCTACTATTGCCAACGCCCCCCTCTTCCTCCCTTTCATCACATGAAGAGGGAGGTCCCTCATACATTGACATGCCTTCCCCACACACATACCCCGCCCTATTGATGCCGTTTTTCTAAAACAACTTCTGCTGCTGTTGTTTAAGGCATTTTAACCATTTATCATTTTAAGCTGAATGTATTATTTTTATGTTATTTCAGTTGCACTGTTGTTATCATCATACGTGCTGCTATTCCAACGGACATTAGTGAATGTATTAAGATCTGGCCTATCTTGGACAATCTCAGAAGCCAGTTAAACGGACTCTTAAGGGTTTTATTTTTATTTAGTTTCTTTAAACTAGTCATTTAGTCTACCTCGTGTTTATAGATGTTAGATTTCTGTAATCCTGAATTATTAGAATAAAGAACTTAAACAATAAAGTCATTGTTTAACTTGTAGTGGTCTTGTAATTCATATAGAGGACGATTTATCACTCAGGCCAGATCCACCGCCTTTTGGTAACATTGTGAATAAACAGAGATAAATCTTTTTTTGATTGATAATTAATAGCTCTGCTGAAAACCTAGCCTGGGTCACTAGATTGGCTTGGATACCTGGATTTTAATAGCTGGTCCAGGAACCATCCAGAGGGGAAAGGCATAAACCCTGGTAAGTAAGCAAATTAAAGCTACAATTATTCAACTAAGAACCCTAAACTGATTTCACCTCAGATTTTAAATAAGTTAAAAAGTATAATAATATAACTATAGCTCCAGTTCTAGTTAATCATTTATTCATTATCTGCTGGATATAATTTTGCACAACTTAAATAAACATCAGGAAAAATACATGTGGGGAGCAAGAGATGAAGAAGCAACAAAACAACAAGAAACCAGCAAATGGAAACTCCAGCAACCATGTCAAATTCAGCACAAAATAACTGATCTGACTGAGTGATGTCTTTTTCTTCTCCTCTCGACTCATGAGGAAAATCTCCTTTATGCCCAGCCACTTCAGTCAAAAGTCCCTAAATATGTTAGCCAATAAGCACTGAGCATCCAGCTGTCACGGTGTTGATTCTGTTAAGTTTTCTTTTGAGTATTTGTCACGGGCCCTGGCCTTTTAAGACTGTGCAGGCTTGTTTTCTTATGCAGGTTCAGCTGTGACAGGAATCTTCCTTGTTGGCTGCCTGAAGGCCGCAGAGGAGCAGTAACATGTCAGGACCAGCAGAAGATTGTTAAGCCAATCAGGATGCTAATGAGGCCCACCTGCACCATATAAATGGCTCCTGGAAGGCTTTCAGTTTGGGGACAGCTAGTAGGAAGAAGGTTTTGTTAAGCTGTTCCCTCACCTTTGGTTTCAAGCTGTTTTGGGTAGTTAGAAC